GGGTAACAAGCAGATTCTTGCACTGCAGGTATTGAGGTACAGCTTGCTCCCCAGTAAGAAGAACAGTGAGCAACACCGTAGTGACATCTCCAAATCTGATTCCAAATCTGGTGAGACTGACAGTCAGAGGTAGCAGTGTCATAGATGATCTCACGCTGCAGATATAGAGCTTATGAAGCCTAAGTCATGAAAAGGTGCACTGATCATTTTTAGAAGGAATTCACAACAAAAAGGTAATTACCCCGCTGTGCATGACAAAGCATCTGCTGTCATAGTATGTATCTATTTTATTAGCATCAGACTTGCTTTGTCAAAAAAAAAGGCAGTAATTCCACAACTGTACACCAACGTTGTGCTTAATGACAGGATAATTGTTTTTTTGACTAAGATATATATCTCTGTTTTGCTTAATTGGAAAAAAAACTTGCTGAGCTATCAAGCTAATTATCTCACTAGCATTCTAATATACAATTATTTTTTTCCTAAAGAGGACATTCCTGTAGGTTTTTTTTCTGTTCTAGTGTAAAGCCCCTGCTAGTTTTGTCTCAGACTTTAGAAAGGATTAATGTAAAGTTCTATGTGAAGGTTAGAGTTTAGAAGGTTATGTTTTAGGCTGTGGAGGTGGGGGGAGGGGAGCAGTTAAGGTGGTATTAAACCCAAAACCTAAAATGTAATATATTGCAGCTTACATCCAGTTGAAGTGGTGGCTGCATTCGTTTTCTTTTTTAGTCTGTTTCCCTCTGTTTTCAATTGGGGTTCTGGCCACCTTTGGACAGCACCATAGTCAGTCTAGAGGGAGGGTAGTGTTAGATGTACTAGCAGGTTTAAGTACACTAACAAATTGACACCAAACTCCAGCTCACACATAAGCAAAAACAGCAAATAGTTTTCCTTTTGAGATAAAGCATTGTAAGCATTGTCAGTGTTAAATACTTTGTCTCATCTCTGTAACTATTACATTCTGCTGGAGAGCTTGTTCTTTTGAAAAATAACAGATATACTGGCTGGATCACCAGGTGAAAATAGCAGAAAGAAAGCTTAAAAAGAAAATGAATGCAGTCATCATATCTAAGAATTGGTAAGCTGCAGTATAATAAATGTTTTCTCTTGGGTTTAACACCACACTAATGATTATAGTTTTAAATGTCACATTAAGAGTTAGGCCTAAGGGTCCATTTATACCTGCCTGATCTGGTGCATTGCATTCATTTGGGTTGTATTAGGGTAGTCAGTGCAGCAGAACAGACAGAAAAACTTGCCTATGTATTTTTCCCAACACAGTGCAGCACAAAGCACTGTAGTGCATTGTGGTACTCTGCAACACACCAACGCATGTACCACTTGTTACTGTCAGTACAATGGTGCGGCTCTAAGGGTAAAGGCATACGTTTCTGCTTGAGGAGGAAGGGGAGAAATAAAGAGAAAAATGTTGAAAATCAACTGCCCAGCATAAGATAACATTGAAAATGCAGCTTTTGTTATTATTATTATACAGGATTTATACAGTGCCAACAGTTTGCGCAGCGCTTTACAAAATGAAGGCAGACATTACAGTTACAATACAATTTGGTACAAGAGGAAACAGAGGGCCCTGCTCATTAGATTTGCATACTCCCCCTCTTCACGTTCCCCACAGATAATCCTCTCCATCCTACTGCCACTGGTGCACATCCAGATTAAATGGTGCTGTGAAATTTAAAGTGTATTTCAAGCCAAACCTTTTTTTTTGTTTTGGACAGAGTGGGGAAGAGTTAGAACACCCATTGGGTTTTACTGCTTTTTGGTCTGTTAGAGAGACTGACTCTCAATTATTGTCCAGTGACAACAGCTTTCCAAGAAAGGGGGAAAACATGCAACAGTGTTGTATACAGAAAAAAATGAGTACAGCAGGGGAACACTAGAACTCGCATCAGATTATTTATTTCAGTATCCATGTTGCATATTTTTCCAAAATTCCATCTGGTAAAAGCGTTGTAACTATAATTCTAAATATATATCATATATAATAAACTATTTAAATAATACAACAAACGGAAGAAGCCACCTGCCATAATATTTTCATACATTCAGGTCTAAAGTTAGTTTCACAATTGTAAACAGACTGCTGCACAGTGTAATCTTTAAAATGAACACTAGATGTCGCCAGTAATCTCAGAAATACAGCCTGGTATATCACCAAGAAATAGCTTGCTTGAAGGGATTACAGCCATATTAGTGCACTTGTGACACAAACAATTGACTACTTTTTTTTATTTATTTGCACTAACAAAATTTTTCAGGACAAGATTTCAGGGTATGTCTCCTTCTTCAAGGTCCGAGCAGTACTCCTTGGACCTTGAAGAAGGGGGTACACCCCGATAGCTTGTCATCTAAAATTGTATGTTAATGCAAATAAATGAAAAAAGTATCCCAGACAGTAATCAGTTGTTTCTGTCGCTAAGAAATAAAAACAATAAAGTTACAGTGTGCCCAATGGGTAACCAAGGAAGCTTTTGTAATGTCCAAATTTAGGGTGATTCTATACAAGCATTATAGATAATCAGCTTATATGCAAATTGCAATTATCACCAAAAGCTCCTGTTATTCCCCCTTCAGTTAATAGTTTTGTTAGTGGTGCACTAGATTAAAATTCTGGTGCCGAAACCGAGAATTTAGGATGCACTTCCAAAACGGACAGTTTAAAATGTTTTTTTTTTTAATTTAATTAATGTGGCTGGCAAATTTCAGTCACTAGGGGGTGTTTTTGCATGGAAGTTAATGTGGACTCAACTTTGCATAAAAATCTATGAGATGCGATTTTGCATTGAAGTCACTAGAGGGCGTTTTTGCATGAATGTCTATGAGACGCGACTTTGCATCAAAGTCTATGACATGTGATTTTGCACTGAAGTCCCTAGAAGCGATTTTGCATAAATGTCTACGAGACACAACTTTGCATGAAAGCCTATGAGACGTGATTTAGCATTGAAGTCTCTAGATCTCTAGAGGGTGGTTTTGCATGAATGTCTATAAGACGCGACTCTGCATGAAAGTCTATGAGATGCGATTTTGCATTGAAGTCACTAGAGGGCGTATTTGCATGAATGTCTATGAGACGCAACTTTGCATCAAAGTCTATGACATGCGATTTTGAATTTAAGTTCCTAGAGGGCGATTTTGCATAAATGTCTATGAGACACGACTTTGCAAGAAAGCCTATGAGACGTGATTTAGCATTGACGTCTCTAGATGGCGGTTTTGCATGAATGTCTATAAGATGTAACTCTGCATGAAAGTCTATGAAAGCGATTTTGCATTGAAGTCACTAGACGCAGGGGTGGCTAACCTGTGGCTCTCCAGCTGTTGTGGAACTACATTTCCCATGAGGCATTGCAAAGATGGGAAGTTACTGACTTGCAGAGGCATGATGGAACTTGTAGTCCTGCAGCAGCTGGAGAGCCGCAGGTTGGCCACCCCTGCACTAGAGGGTGTTTTTGCATGAATGTCTATGAGACGCAACTTTGCATCAAAGTCTATGACATGCAATTTTGCATTGAAGTCCCTAGAGGGCGATTTTGCATAAATGTCTATGAAACACGACTTTGCAAGAAAGCCTATGAGATGTTATTTAGCATTGACGTCTCTAGAGGGCGGTTTTGCATGAAAGCCTATGAGACGTGATTTATCATTGAAGTCTCTAGAGCAGTGGTTCTCAACCTTTCTAACGCCGCGACCCCTTAATACAGTTCCTCATGTTGTGGTGACCCCCAACCATAAAATTATTTTCGTTGCTATTTCAGAACTGTAATTTTGCAGTGGGAGGAATAGTGCCCCATCATTGGTATCAGTGGGAGGACTAGCGCCCCATCATTGGTATCAGTGGGAGGAATAGTGTCCCATCGTTGGTATCAGTGGGAGGAATAGTGCCCCATCACTGATGTCAGTGGGAGGAATAGTGTCCCATCGTTGGTATCAGTGGGAGGAATAGTGTCCCGCCATTGGTGTCAGTGGGAGGAATAGTGCCCCATCATTGGTATCAGTGGGAGGAATAGTGTCCCATCGTTGGTATCAGTGGGCGGAATAGTGCTCCATCATTGGTGTCAGTGGGAGGAATAGTGCCCCATCATTGGTGTCAGTGGGGGGAATAGTGCTCCATCATTGGTGTCAGTGGGAGGAATAGTGTCCCATCATTGGTGTCAGTGGGAGGAATAGTGCCCCATCATTGGTATCAGTGGGAGGAATAGTGTCCCATCATTGGTGTCAGTGGGAGGAATAGTGTCCCATCATTGGTGTCAGTGGGAGGAATAGTGCCGCATCGTTGGTGTCAGTGGGGGGAGGAATAGTGCCTATCATTGGTGTCAGTGGGGGGAGGAATAGTGCCCCATCGTTGGTGTCAGTGGGGGGAGGAATAGTGCCTATCATTGGTGTCAGTGGGAGGAGGAGAATAGTGCCCCATCGTTGGTGTCAGTGGGGGGAGGAATAGTGCCCCATCGTTGGTGTCAGTGGGGGGAGGAATAGTGCCCCATCGTTGGTGTCAGTGGGGGGAGGAATAGTGCCCCATCGTTGGTGTCAGTGGGGGGAGGAATAGTGCCCCATCGTTGGTGTCAGTGGGGGGAGGAATAGTGCCCCATCGTTGGTGTCAGTGGGGGGAGGAATAGTGCCCCATCGTTGGTGTCAGTGGGGGGAGGAATAGTGCCCCATCGTTGGTGTCAGTGGAGGAATAGTGCCCCATCGTTGGTGTCAGTGGGAGGAATAGTGCCCCATCGTTGGTGTCAGTGGGAGGAATAGTACCCCATCGTTGGTGTCAGTGGGGGGAGGAATAGTGCCTATCATTGGTGTCAGTGGGGGGAGGAATAGTGCCCCATCGTTGGTGTCAGTGGGGGGAGGAATAGTGCCTATCATTGGTGTCAGTGGGGGGAGGAATAGTGCCCCATCGTTGGTGTCAGTGGGGGGAGGAATAGTGCCCCATCGTTGGTATTAGTGACACAAATGATGGGGCACTATTCCTCCCACTGACACCAATGATACTTACCTTGCTGACCCCTGCTCCAGCCTGGGCCCCATCTACAGCCTGCAGAAGCAAAATTTGCACTTACCTGTCAGCTGTCTTCCTTCTCTGGCCTCTCTCCTCTTCACTCGGTCCTGCAGCTCCCTCGATCTTCTTCGATCTGCGCGCTCTGCCGCTCGGCTCCTCCTCTCCAAGCTCCACCTCCTCGCCGGTGATTGGCCGCCTGTGTGCCTCTCCTGAGCTACAGTTCCGGTGGCCAATCAGCGGCGAGGAGGCGGAGCTGTTGAGTGATCCCGGAGGTGTGGCCAGGTTACAGGGGCAGCATATCATCCCGCCCACAGATCGCGAGACAGAGCAGCGGTGTCTCGGTTCCTAAGACCATCGGAAATATGTTTTCCGATGGTCTTAGGCGACCCCTGGGAAATGGTCGTTCGACCCCCAAAGGGGTCGCGACCCCCAGGTTGAGAACCGCTGCTCTAGAGGGTGGTTTTACATGAATGTCTATAAGACGCGACTCTGCATGAAAGTCTGTGAGATGCGATTTTGCATTAAAGTCACTAGAGGGTGTATTTGCATGAATGTCTATGAGACGCGACTTTGCATGTACCGGCACTATTATCGGCACCTTTTTTCTTAGCGGCAAAATGCCAATAACACTATTTTGTCTGATATGTTTTGGCCACCAATATATCGGTGCATCACTAATTTTTGTCTATAGTGGATAACATTTAAAAATACAGACTAATGCACAATCAAATTTATCACCTCAAAAAAACTGTTTTCTTTTAGTTGCTTGGCCGTCACACAGCTGACGGCCATATAAAAAAATATATAATGGGGCAGGCGGTGAAAACCAAGTGGCAAGGTAGTTTTATTACATCCAAGATTGATGTTGGATCCAACATTCACACCTAAAAACAATGGAGGCTAGTCTCAGACTTAACCCAAGAACAAATTTGTAATATGCTGAAGTATTGGCTTTATATTTTTTTCATTATAAAGACCTTTTCAACAGATCCAGAAATAATCTGTTAATCTTATCTTCCTTCTTACTTATCTTCTGTAAACTATTAAATGCCCTGTCCCCCAAGTCATGGAAATGAATATATACAGACATGTTTGTAGTCCATATCAGAAGAGCAGCCCAGGGTGACAATCAAGACTCCCTCCATGGATTTAGTGGCGGGGTGACACAATCACCCAGGACCAGGGACAGACGTTATTAGTGAAAAAAAAAATAAGGAAAACAAATGCAGCCACCGCACCAGGGACTAGTAATCTGCATTATATTACATTTGGTTTTGGGTTTAAGGTTACGTATACTTTAATGTTCATCTATAGCCAAAATGGTTTTTTATTTTTTATTTTCAGCAGATAAAGGTAAAACCCTTATCAGGTTATTTTTTGCTGTTTGTGTCCTGCTTGCAAAATTGTCCATCACTTCCTGCCATGTAGACGCACCAGGAATTGAGGGACTGTCTTAGATGGTTGTCATGCAAACCTTTTCCCCTCATTTCTTGTTATGGTGACAACGATAAATGTTTGGATTTCCCTTTCCTTTCCAATGGTCACCAGGACAAATAGAGGGGTGTTTCTCCCCATTGGTGGCATAGGCAACAATAAAAACCTGTCAGAGGGGCTTATATTTTCCCATGCTAACCAACAAAGAAAAAATGTTGGCTTTACATACCCTTTAATCTTTGTACATAACCTCTAACCTAGTTTAGCCAAATCCTGAACCTAAATATCACTGCTACCACATGTGCTTCTGATTGGCCAGGGCAAGATGTCGTCACTCCCATGCATGCACAAAGGGAGTCTTGGACGCAGTGCGCTGGTGACATCACCGGTGCTTTTAGATAAATATCTCCTAAACGGTGCACATTTAGGAGCTGTTTACAGTACCTACAGGTAAGCCTTATTAAAGGTGTACCTGTAGGTAAAATATGCAAAAAGGAGTTTACTTACACTTTATCCTACCAGCATGTCTTTGGAGCATGGGGCAGCACAGTGGCTAAATGGTTAGCACTTCCGCCTGGCAGTACTAGGGTCGTTAGTTTGAATCCCAGCCACAGCACCGCCTGCCTGGAGTTTGCATGTTCTCCCTGTGCCTGACTGGGTTTCCTCCAGGTACTTGAGTTTCCTCACACACTCCAAAGACATGCTGGTAGGTGAATTGGCTCCTGTATAAATTGGCCCTAGTATGTGTATTCTTGGGAGGAGAGACTGGCCAAGATGCACCAAAAGTTTGGACTCTGGAGCCTCAGAGACCTCACCATCGAAGGGAAGACACTGGTACTCCGCAGCGAGATTCTCCCTGTGTTGCAGTACCTCGCCCAGGCCTGGCCCCCTTGGGTCAACACCTGCAAGGCCATCACCAGGGCGGTGTTTCACTTCATCTGGGGCTCCAAGATGGACAGAGTGAAGCGGGCAGTCATGTTCAAGGAACCCCTCAAGGGCGGTAAGGGCGTGCCCGACATCGCCACCCAGCTGAGGGTGTTCTTTGCTTGCAACTGCATCCGCAGAACTTTGCCAAGACGGACTATGGACTCTGGCGGGAACGCAATGTCTCGCTTCTTCCTGTTGCCTCTCTGGAGGTCCCTGGGGTGGGACACTTGGGATAGTTCCATCCCCTACAACTGGGACACTCCTTGGTACTACTTGGACACCTTCAAGTTCATCAGGGAGCAAGGGCTGCAGGGAGTCAAGCCTGACTTGTGGAAGCCAAAGACAATCTACAAGCTCATCCGAGCCAGCGACATTTTGGAGTCGGTTCCAGGCCTGCCTTCAGACACCTGCAAGGTGGTCTGGAGGAATGTTTCTTCCAACATTCTTACCAACAGGCACAAAGACCTGGCATGGATGGCAATCCAAGGGGGGTTGCCTCTCAGGACATTTATGCATGCCAGGAACCTGAGCAGATACAGACACTGCCCCTTCTGCATCATCCATGAGGAAACGTCTTACCACGTTTTCTGGGAGTGCTCATTTGCTCAGGCCCTGTTGGGGGCCCTGGAACCTGAACTCAAGGACTTTGTGCCGCAGACAGCCATCACTCACTTTGGGGTGTTGAATGGACTGTTCTGTGGAACTTTCTCTCTGGAGGACATTGACAGCGCCTGGAGGGTGCTGTGTTGCTTTAAGGACGCTTTATGGTGCGCCAGGAAGCGCCTCATCCACCAGCGGGAGAGGATGTCCATTGAGGACTGCCGCAGACTGATCCTCAGTCTGCTCAGAGACTATTCCTTGATGGACTTTAAGGAGGAAGAGGACGTCTGAAGATTTCCCCCATCCCCCTACTCCCCCTTGCGTGTCTTTGTCTTTTCAATAAAGCCTCGGGCCTGTGGTTTCCCCCCCCCCCCCCCTCCCCCTTCCCACACATACCTGATGCCTATTGATTGATTGCAATATCCGGTTTTTCGTTTTTGTGCATGCACTAGTATTGTTAGGTAACGCAATGTGTAGTAGAATGTTACAGTTTTTGGGGTAAGCGGCGTTATGCATGACGTGGTGGTCTGGGGATCCATCCTCGGCACATCACGTCAGGCATCATACCGCTGAACGAATGTATTTATTTCTGAATGTATTTATTGTATGCTTGGAACTGTATTGCCATGTGGTGCGCTGCGTCGCAGTACAGGGTGAGATGTACCCCGATTACACGTATCATGTTGTTTTTGATGCTTCTGCAATAAAAGTATCTTTTCAATCAAAAATGTGTATGTATGAATGTGAGTTAGGGACCTTAGATTGTACGCCCCTTGAGGGTTAGGGACTGATGTAAATGTACAATATATATGTAAAGCGCTGCGCAAATTGACGGCGCTATATAAGTACCTGAAATAAATAAAATAAATAAGTGTAAGAGAAAACTGGAGTACCTGGAGGAAACCCAAACATACATAGGGAAAACATGCAGACTCCAGGCAGGTAGTACCATGGTTGGGATTTGAACTGACAACACTAGTATGCACTCAAAACACAGAATAGGCATTTAGTGCTTAGTCCAACTCTTCCAGATTCAAATTGCACATTGTCTTTTATATACAATGTTACTGGAGAAGTGTTGGCGTCTAAACAAATGCAAACAATAGTTTTAAATAATTCTGTATTGTAAATTACATTAGAAAAGGACAATAAGCTGTAGTAAAGAATAATCTCACAGTATCTAATCAGTTAAAAGTCCATTTGTTAAAATCTCATATTGTTCTATTTCATGTCTGATTATCCATGTTAACAAGATCCTCCATTAGGCTAATTTCCATTATAGTTAGGTGTAGACATGTATACTGTATTGGACAGCTGATCATTCACATAATGTATAACTATGGGGGAGTAACACAAGATTACTATTTCACTCATCAACAAGAGTGTCATCCTATCCGTCACGAGTCATTACCCAGATTATGAGCCATCAAGTTTCTTTCTGGCAAAAGTGAGGGTGTTTCACATGATTTATCAGCAGTCTTTGTACTTTCACGTTTGCTACAAGGTCATTTTTCTAATCTGAAAATCTCTACAATTTCCGCAGCCTGGGACTCATAGTGTGGGTTTCCCATGTTTGGTTAAAAATCAGATTAACAGCTGAATGATATGTTTGTCAAATGAGTGTGGTTTTGCTGCAAAACTCAAGGCTTTTGAATGGGTGCCACCAAACCAGCCTCACCACCTACGGTGCTGAGTTTATCCCCACAAATACCCATATATATATATATGTATGTTATTGTGACGGGAGTGACTTTTGGGGGTGGGGGGACCTCTGTATTATCTTCCCAAATTCCCATTATGTTTAAGGCACCCTGTGCCTGTTAAGGGGTACAGGGTGTGTATGTGAATGTCTGAGTCTTGTGTATAGTGTGTGTTCCTTTGTTCTCGGCCACATGGCTGTCCATTGTCTGTTTGCCATGTGCTACCCCCCATTGTGCTGTGTCTACCTGTCCAGCCAACTATTATGGGATGTACTGTTTGTGTATTGGTGTGGGGGTTGGTCAATGTCCTTTGCCATGTGTTTCATCCCATTGTTCTGTGTCTTGGTGGGATGGGGAGGGGTGATGATGTATTTCCTGTTCTTGGTTGGTTTCCCCGCCCTCTGTATATATCCTGTGTTTTGCGTTAAAATAAAAAGAGTTGGCTTCCTGTTTTAAGAAGAGCTGGGTGCTGTCTTTTTCCTGAGGGATTTCAAGGGTGTGGTCTGTGGATGGTGTTCGGACAGGGGAAGCTGTGGTATAACGGAAAAACTCAGTGCGGTCTGGGTTCCGGTTCCGTTACAGTTATCATATTTTATTATTATTGCTATTATTTATTTATTTGCTATCAGGTATTTTTTGTTGATTTTCTTCCTCTTTCATTGTAAATTCACCATTCTTTGCCACCAAC